TTTATGATATTTTGATATATATATATATATATATATATATATTGTTGGTGCATGTATATCTATGGATTATTTGCATGGTAATCTCAAGTAATTAGATTTATGTTTTCTGTTGTTTAATTGTTGAGTTGTAAAGTGTAGTAACATATCATAATGTTACAATCAATATCGTGATAAGCCTACACCCAAATTTTACTATACCCATTAGATAATCAAGAGTTTTTCTAGTTTATGTTGGAAATGTCTCAATGACCAAAGTTGTTGACGATATGCTAAGGTGACGCTAAATAAACCACTTGTTATATGAGGTCTCTAAATAGTAGCATGTGTGATGACTTGTAACAATTGTTGTTGATGTGATGTATTAAGCATTATGGAGTGCATAGTTATAGATGATATTATGTTAAGACTGATTTGGATGGTATTCACACGATATTCAATTGTAGTTGTTTTCTTGTTGTTAACAATATGATGATTAATAACATTGATGCATCTTACTTACAATTATGTAAGATTTCTTTTATATTGAACATACATTAGCTAGTTTGTGTTTAATTAAATTATTGAATTTGATATAAGAGCAATCAATAATATGTTTCTAGAGTTGTAGTTGGTGGTTGGGAGAGACCAACCAACTTATAGGCGGCTTTAACTTAGGAATGACTCTTTGATCATGTATAGTTACATTAGGATGTTCTTTTGAGTTTTATATCCATGTATATGTATGTATATTTAGTAAGATACAATCTCTCATAAGAGAATCTTTTGTTGAGTTGAAATATATATATATATATATATATATGTGAATATTTTGTCATATGTAATATATTGTTTAATGTTTGAAATCTTAAGACAAATGACCTTTATATTTATTGTTATGTGATTTGCTCCTTTCAATTATTAATTTAATTAAAATATATTAATAATATTTTTATAATTATTTTATTATATCAATAATCATCTATTACTAATTGTCTTAATTGTTAATTTTGTCATAATTTAATAACTTTCACTGCCGCCCCATATGTTAACTTATGAAGCAAATTAGAAGAAAAAAGGGGGAAAGAGGAGAGAGAAAAGCAAAACAGAACACAACACAAACAGGTTACAGAAAATCACCAGAAGAAGACACTCTTCCTCTCAGGGAATGGGTGGAAGATGGAGAACCCTCTCTCTTTTCTGTAACCGCGTAAACACTTCCTCTTCTTCCAAACCCCACTTCCCTTCCCTCAACCGTTCCCTCTCTCTTGCCGCCGCAACTTCCCAAATACCCGACCCGGATCCTCCCGGCTTCGGAGCCCCGGACCTGGACCCCACCGTCAAAATTCCCGTCAAAGCCTACTTCCTCTCTACCAGGTTCCTCCCCAATATCCTATGTTATTCAAGTTCCTTAATTTTTCTCGCCCCTCTTGTTTTCTCGTCAATTGCGTAAATGGGTCGTTCTCTGAATCTCGTTTCTCTGCTTTTACTTATGACTTTCGTTACTGTTCCATTTAAGAAGAGAATAGCAAGTTGTGTGGCGTGGGGTTAAAATTTGCACTTGTAGCTTTATTCTTAGATTTGGAATTTAGAGTTTTATTGTTATTGTTTACAAAGTTAGGACAGAACTAGTTGGAGTTCTATATGTGCCTTTTGTATCCTGATGGATTGGAATAGTTGTTTGGCATCCTATTGGCATAATGTTTGATTCCAGCCTTGTGCTAAATTCCTTTGGGCAAGACAGTCACAGTATTATAAGCGAGATTAGTGTAACCTGGAGGGTTAGGATACCTATGACAAAAAAATGTGTTTTTTTGTGTTGTTTTATTTATTCATTATTAGAATTGAAGTTTAAGCTTGATAATCTGCGTGGTAAAAGTTTTTCATTAAAGATCAACGTAGATTACTCAAGTAAAATGCAGGTCTTTGTTTTCACAAATATTAGTATTAAAATGGAATATTGTAATTGGGCCTACGAGCTCAATCCAGTAGGGTTTCCTTTGCAATTGATTGTATTTATTCAAATTGGAAATGAATGAAGAGGCAGAGAAATTATTCCCAAAAGTTAGATAGCCATAGTAGTAGGGAGATTTGGTCTATCTCGAAGCAAGACCTGTTAGGGAATTCTATCCTTGTTCCTAACATAAAATTCAAATTCTGATTGGATAACAATATCCAAAAACTTAAAAGACCTGCATATAAATTTTGTCTTTATTGTTTTTTGAGTTTCTCTTTGTGCCGTGTTTTTTAATTGTTACTTATGAGTTATATTTTACAGATAAGTATTGGATTTAGAAGTCTGTGTGTTGTGTGGGGATTGTAATTTTGTTGCATTTATGATATTAGATTGGGAATTTGGAGTTTTTTTTCCTCTCTTTTTTAGTTTATTAAAGTGGCAGCTTTAATGCTTGTATGCGATTTATATGTTTTGAGGTTTTTTTTTTTCTTTTTTCTTCCTTTTCTTATTGTGATGCATTTCCTTGTTTTCTGGGTTTGAATTGAATGGAACCCCTTTCCTCTCACATGTCTTTTTGTTTTCTTGTTCTTGTTCTCTATGATTTGGCTGTCTCAGATTCATAATTTTGGCAGCATAAATTTGAAGGGCATTCAGGCTGATAACCACAGAAACATCGTTCCTCCATCTTCCCGCTCATCATTAAACTATGTTGCTTTGCGCTTCTGTGACTTCAATTTGAGCTCTAATGTAAGTTTTATCATTATTATTTTTCTCAAGAACCTTTTGTCTTTCTACAGGATGCCACTAAATAGTTCTTAAATATCTCTACTGAGCCAATATCTGGTTTTCTTTAAGCTACAACACAACACTTAATACCTTGTTGATGTTCCTCTTGGGGCAATGTTTACATGTCCTGACAGTGGATTGTGATTATAAGCCGCGAGGGTGGATTTTTAATAAACTGCTATTGCCGAACTTATGTGTGCATTTGAAGGTTAAGGATAAGATAAGAAGAAATTCAGGCTCCATATTTTAATAAACCGGTATAGCTAATTTCTCTTTTTGGTTTTGGAGTGGAAGGGTAGGTGCCGAGAGCAGCTTGACATACATCATAAATAGCAATATTTCATCATTGATGATAACTAAATTATTGCACTATATCAAAAAGGAAAATAATGCTCCCTGGTTAAAAGCAGATTCAAGTGTTCAAAATGAGAAAATCTGTTTAAACATATTAAATTAATTGTACAATACAACATGATTGATTAACAAAGTCTGAACAACTGTAAGGCATATGATTCAGGGACCTGGATTTCATGTGAAAGCAAGCAACTGTCGTTACATGGTTGTATATCAGTACGGGTCAGCTGTTTTGTTTAATATTGAGGATCATGAAGTGGAAATTTACCTGGAATTAGTTAAACGGCATGCGTCTGGTGTACTTCGAGAGATGAGGAAAGATGGTAAATTTCTTCAAAGAAACTAATTAATCATATAGTTATTCTAAATCCTGTTACGTATATTTAACATGTTCTGTGTGGTTAGATTACGCGATAAAGGAGAAGCCACTGTTAGTTGAGGACATGCAAGGAGGTCCTGACTACATAGTTCTGAAATCATTGGATACCGATGGTATCCGTATAATTGGAAGTGTACTGGGACAAAGCATAGCTCTGGATTATTTTGTCTCACAGGTTAATATCTCCCAAATTTCATCTTATATTTGTCACCATGCAGGACAACCCTTAAAATGAAGCCTTTTTTAAAATAATAAATAAATAAAAGAAGGCACTGAACTATTTACCATTTACTTTCTCTTATTTATTAGGTTGATGGTTTAGTCGAAGAGTTTGCCGGCATAAATCGTGGAATGGAGAAAACTGGAACCTTCACTATGGATAAGAAGAAGCTACTTCAGCTAGTTGGGAAGGCTAACTCAAATTTGGCTGATGTGATTCTTAAAGTTGGTCTCTTTGAGAGGTATTTTCAATTTCTCGTCCCCGTTTTAGGCATAAGAAAAGTATGCATCTGGTAATGTAAGAACACATTGAAAGTTTAAGATTATAGTAGTATCCCTAAAGATATCAGATATTTGTTTAGTAGATTCTTTTGATTATAGAAAATAGTGAGAAAATTTTGTAAATGTCTTTTTTCTTGTGGTATAATCAGATCAGAAATTGCTTGGAGGGATGCAAAGTATGCTCAAATATATGAGTATCTTCGGGAGGAGTATGAAGTTGCACAACGTTTTGGGAACCTGGATTTCAAATTGAAATTCGTAGAGGTATTTGGCCCATTATATATACCCATTTGCCCCTCTTTTAAATATTAGTCATTTCATCTAAAAAGGCCTTTGAAGATTTTGTTTGAAACTTGGCTCATCGAAACTCAATAATGTGTGTGTGCTTTATATTATGCACAATTCTTCAGCTAGGTTCATACCAATTTTTCCTATATATTTAACTTGGTAGTTGAGTTTATCTTGAAATGATATTTGTCCAATTAAGGCTGATTACATCGATTTGGTTGTTTGCAGCACAATATTCATTTTCTCCAAGAAGTTCTCCAGAACAGGAAATCAGATTTCTTGGAATGGTGCATTATTGGTCTATTGACTATTGAAAATGTTCTATCCTTATACGAGCTTCTTCGAGCTACAAACACAGTTTCTTAGTAAATAGTAAGAGAGGCCGAAGCTAGATTAATTTGTTGTAGCAGCAATTCTTGCAATTTTTGAGCCAATAAAATTTTTTCCCTATGTATTTAGTGTGGTTAAAAAAATCCACATATATCCCGGAATAATTGAGCTGTATGAAATTTATTGGGAATCAGGAATCTTACGTAGTTTCTGAGAATAGCTATATATCTGATGTAATTCAAAATCAAAAAATGGATATAGGGAAATCTGGTTCCTGCATTGTTGGAACCTAACTTCTAATCACATTGTAAACTTTTACCCGTAGGATGAGGGTAAAATCAAACTGAATTTGTTATCATAAAACGGAAGTGATTTTGCTTTGTTTTCAAATACAGGTATTTCTCCGTATCAATCTTGAAATCAGGTTATTTCCATGTATTACATGCTTCAAGCAGTTTATCGTTGGCCATTGTTGAAAATAGACTCAACTTTCCCAAACATATCAAAGTTTCCACATTCATTCTTTTAAAGATTTTATTCTCTATTTTCAGGGAAGACTAAATGCAAAAAGATAAATTTACTGATTTAGTATATTAAATAAGCCGATTTAATAACAAAGTCTTCATAAGACTAATGTCGTGACATGAAAATAGTATTTGAAATGTTTAGTGATAAAAATAAGAATACTTTAAAAAATTAACTCACTGATACCTTACTTTATGAAATCTTACGTATAAAGTCCACTCTTAATGTGACTGATGCAGCAGCTACAAAAAAACCTAGTATTGCTACTTGCATTTTGCTAATTTCAGCACGTACGTCGACAAAGTAGAACTAACACTTCTTAAACCTCTGTTCATCAAACAGGACCTCAAAATTCTAAATTCTTAATATGTATTAAATAAGGAGCCAAAAAAATACATGGTATCAACTAGAATGGCATCATTACAGTTCCATTCGTGCTTGCCAAATTAACTTAAACTCAATGAGACAATGAATGATCAGAACATCAATACATCCAAAATATTTATGGATAATATAGAGAAGAGGATCCTAACTTGTACACCTACTGTGTGTAAAAATTTCCAACAATGTAGACTATCTATTCCATAGCAATCATAATAGTAATGGCATAATAATAATAACCAACATTTGTAAACTCAGAATTCTGATACTCTGGCAGCATCACGAGGTGTATCATATGCATCCTTTGGCCTTGACTTCTTCACACCAGCAGTAAACCACAACTTATCAGATTTGTAACCTTCAACTGCCACAGTTGTCACCTTAACCCACACAAGGACCTTTGTTTTCATTCCATCTATTGCTGAAAGCTTTCCCCTTGTGAGAACCCCTTTGACTCGGGTTGCATACCTCAGCACAGAAGAGTCCTTGAAGCTGACCTCACATGCAGATGGCAAGTACACAATCAGCTTACCCTTGGTTTCATCAAACTCATAACAGATTATGTTCTGAGGGAATAGCCCCGGTGGTAAATTGTACTCACGGAGGAGATCCGGTAGGCTTTTCAGCGGCTTGCCTGAAGGAAAGGAGGGAAAGGAAAGAAAGACAGTGATCAATAGTTATGCAGTGATTTATAAGTTGGTCAGCATACCTAAAGAGATATGAGATTGATGCCATAACAGATAGAATCTATGCCAAGGGTAGTGACTATCCAATAATAAAATAATAAAATGTCATAAACTGTATGAATACCAAAGTTGGTGGTGGAATCTTAGCTTTTGAAATAATAATTGTCTTGACTTGTTATTTTCATGTATAGACAGTGCTGACAACTTGCCACATTTATTTAACTTAATAGTATATTGTAGAATAGGCTCAAAACTAACATGTATGATGTAATGAATATTATACAATCCATGAAACAAAACATGAAGAAAACAGCTGGATTGGAGAAGACAGAAGAGGGAAGCTCAAAAGTGCATAAAAAAGGATATTTCAACTCAAGGGTAAGAATTTTTTTAACCTGTATTACGATCACAGGATACAAGAGAAAGTGCCAGTAAAGGGGCCAAATGTGGAGAAGGCGCCACATGGAAAACTTATTATGGCAAGTTAGCATTTGCAAGAAGTGATGAACACAATGTCTAGATTGCTATTTTGCAAACTGATTGATTCAACGTATATGATGTATATTCTCCTACTTTATCTGTTTATCATGGTGATATGTAACTGTTTATTAAAACAATGAAAGGGGATGTATATGTTGGGAATCATGAGATTTAAAAATGTTGAGCAAAAGCATCTGGTATGCCATCACACCTGGCATACATTTAAATTGACTCATTGACTTAGCTAATTGGGTGAGGTAAATCTTTGTAAGCATACATGAGCATTATATGAGAAATGGGTCAAAACACATTCATACCTTTTAGTTTGTTGAAAACCCATTTCGCCTTTTCTTCAACAGTATTTGAGAAAGCCTGCAAAAGATCACCAGTTTTTTCTTCAGCAACAATGGCGTCAAACTTCACAGTACATCTAAAAGTCTAAACACCAAACAGGATTGCCCATGGAATAGCGTTTTTTTTTTAGTTTTTAATACTTGCACATAAAATTTTATCCAGCTTTATGCATTAACACAAGCAATTTGAAGAATCTTACTGATCTGAAGCTAATTCCCAACTTATCATTCAAACTACATAAGTCTCTCCAATATAGTTCAAGTTTATCTTATCCATTTTCTTGATTGATGCAAAATTCAAGGATTACCCTCACACGTCACACAAATAATACGTGCAGAATTACTTAATTTATGTTTAAGTACCGATTTAAATAGTAGATAATTAAGTACCAGTTTTAAAACTTCTGTGCTAAGCCAAATGAATGGACTCACCGGAACAAACAAAATACTAAAAAACAACCAAGCCAGCAACATTATCCAACAGGCTCCAGAATGTTCCATATGATCTACAATATCTAAACCTATATGTTCCTCCGATTAAGCAGAAGCAAACCATGTCAATTCACTATCAGAAACTGGGATATAACCGTGATGAAAAATTTAAAAAACGCTTTAAGAAAGAGGCAACTAGCAACCATTCATTCTCTTTCATTCCCCATGGGCAACCAATATACCCTTTCACACATTTCCCCCTCCCTCTTCTCCAATCAAACCACACATGAAACAGGTTCAAAATAAATCACACAAACTCAAACCCCACAAAAATTCTCAAGATGAAGTCCAAAGGAAAAGCACATCCCATTTTAGTATTATTCACACACAACCAAAGGTACAATTTTTAATCCAGAATCAAGCACCCTGTTGCCCTTCACATCTTTTGAATCCATCACCCTAAAATGAACAAACACCAATATGCAAAGCTTCCATTTCAGATCTCTCAAACCCCAAAAGGTAACAATGCCTACAACCAAGCCACATTAAAAATGGATAAAAAATACAATGCAAAACTAAACACAAAAAGCATATACTCACAGAAATATCTTCAGATATGTTAGAGAACTCCTCCTTGGCCTTCTTGGTGATCCATGAGCTTCCCAACCCCACCTTCAAGCTGCTAACTTTAGTGAGAGCCCTCTCCATTTTTGGGGTGTTTAACTGTTTGTGCCTCTCTTCCTTTCCCTTCCCTTCACCTTTTGGGTGCAATGCAGCCAAAGAGACAAGAATCTGTGACTAGTTGGAGTTGGATGGAACACACAACACAAAACAGAAAACACAACCCAGTGGAAGGAAAAGGGAAAAGGAGTGTTTGTGTGAAGGTGGGTAAGTGAAGTCATGATAAAGGCTTGACCTTTGCATCAGATGTCAAGCTGAGCTGGCAAAGGGTAATGGACAAAGTACGCTGATGAACACACTGCTCAAAGCGGCGTTTCGCTCCCACCTTTCTTTTTCAAGTACAAATTTTTTTTCTTTTAATTTATAAATAAAAAATCATGTTAAATAGTGATATTTGTATTAATTAAAAGATACTAATAAATAACTTTTTGTTTTTTTTTAAATTACGATAAAGTTTATAAATAATTATGATAAAATATTTGTAAAAAATTTTAATGCCTTTTTACGCATGTTATTTATAATTTATTGAAAGGTATTTATACCCATACGTTGTATTTTAACTATCATCAATTTTTCAAGTATGAAATAGGAAAAAAGTTTATAAAAAAATAACTTTTTTTTAAAAATAAATAAAGAAAGAGAGACACGAAATGCCTATATGTAATATTACATATATAGATATTATATATATATATATATATATATAATGATTGATATATATATATATATATATATTATCATATAATATGCATAAATTTTTATGATATTATTATTAAGGTTATGTGTTTTTGTTTTTAGTATTTGTTAATGGGAGATTTATATATTTTTTTTAATAGGAATATAATATATATTTTTATTCATCAATTATTCACATATCGTCTCTGCAATGTTAAAATATTATTTATTTAGAGTTATATTTTTATAATTTTATTTTTAATCACTATCCAAAGATCTCTTGCCAATACAATATATATGTAGTTTATAAATTCTTTTCTCCTATTATTTTTATGATGTGAAATTTTGTTTGTATTTTAATAACCATTCTTTCAAACAAAGGACCTTACTTTTTATTTAACATATTCTATCATTGAATTGTATTTATTGTTGTAGTTGTTTGTTTGTATGAGTAAAGATAAATGATTATCACCAAATTCAACCAACAACTTTATACCACTAATAAAATTTATGAATTTATAACTTTTAAAAAAAAATTGGATAAAGATAAAGAATTTTTTAAAACTTTTTTTTTTCTAATTTAATTTTTATTTATCATAATTATTTATGAATTAAATTTTAATATTTTTAAATAAATTATTAATAAATAAAAATAATGTTATGTTATAATATAAATTATTTATTATAAACTTAATATATATTTTATATGTTTAAAAATATTTGTTCATACAAATTTTAAATATGATTATATATTCAAATATATACAAACTAAAATATTAATATATATATATATATATATATATATAAATAAATAAATAAGAGATTTGAGTTCAACTCTTTCTCTGAGCGAAAATTTAAAATTAGTTATTTTTTATGTAACATCTCATGAGGAAAAATGAATTATTTTAATGCACAATTAATTATTGGATAAATTAGAATAAATTGGTCTTGTAACTTTTATCATGCAACACTTTTCCCTTAAAATTTTGGCGCATCAGATCTTGTTTTCCAACATCGCTTTTCACCCAAGTTTACATGGGGGACCATTGAGAATGTTATGTTAATATCTTGATTCTAAAAAAGTAAGGTAAAGTTAAAGCTAATATATATGTGATAATTTATATATATATTTTTTTTAAATATGTAGCAATACACATGGTGGGGTCAGAAATTTGTATTTTCCAGCTCAAAAGGCTAATAACACCGACCATAGCACTATCATAATTCAAAAACGATTGCATTTTCATTAGGATCAAAGGTTCCAATTATTGAGAAGAAAATGGTGATAGACCATTCATCTAATCCAAACATGATAGTTTTCTACAACTGTTTTTTTATGACTTAATTGGCTTTCATTTAAAGCATCCTACTTTGTTTTTTCTTTTTTCATGAGATGAGTTAGACCATTATTCTATATTGTTCTTCTACCAAAACAAAATAAATACTAACCTTCATTTTCGGGCACGACACATCTATACTAGACCACCCAACTTGTGAAATGTGAATATATTTAGAGGGAATGCTAATAAATTGTAGGAGCGTTCAGCTATTTTTTATTTATTTAATTTTTTAAAATTGTGATGATTGGTAGCAACTTGTGGTGACCAATCAAAATTATTGGTCTACCATGAACCACTTGACCAACTTCTCCATAGAACACTCAACATTTAGTAGATAATATAAAATAATTTTATATCATTATTTAATCACAATTCATTATAAATAATAAGTATATTAATATTTATAATAACTATTATAAAAGTCATATAAATCATACTTTCTAATTAATTAATATATATTTAATTTTTTATATTGACAGTGTATTACAATTAAACTCTTGAAGTATTCATGATATAAATAGTTTTTTAATCATTATTTAATTACAAATCATAATATATAATAAGTTTATTGATTTATATGATAAATAATTAAAAAAGTAATAGTAATGATAATTTTTTTTATTGATCATTTTACCTTACACCTAGATATTAAACTCTACAATTTAGCACCTTAGTTTACATATACTAAACTCTGCAATTTAGCTAAGTGTGCTTGGGTTAATATTATCAAATGCATAATTGGGGGCTGTAGACAATAAGTCCTGGTTGAACCTAAACTCTTAGATAAGCATTCATTAGGTGATGTTTTTAAGCACACTCATTTATATACATGGACTATTATGAATAAAAAAAATATAGCAAAAGAGACACTAGATTTAGAATTCAGAATATTGATTAGATCATTTACTTCACGAAGAAATGATGATTAACCCATTAGCATTTTATCAAATTATTGGTCAAATAGATCATAATGTTAACCTGATTTTAGAAGAAAAAAAAGTTACATTAATTTAAGAGTTAATCACCTATACATTGATAGTGTAAATTTTTTTATATTGGGAGTCAATTAGAACTATTAATAGTTCTTTTTTTATTTTAATTTAATTAAATGAACAGATGAAAAGACACTATTAACGGCTCTGATTGATTACCAGTGTAAAAAAATTTTACACCAACAGTGTATAGATGATTAACTCTTAATTTAATGCACAAAAATTATAGGAAAGTTCTAGCATATTATTCCTTTTCTTGCTTGGTAAGCATTTGATTATCTTAATAAATAATTACCCATCTCTAACCAGCAAAGCACCAGTGTCGATGAGTGTTAAGCTTTAAGCTTTTCAATGTAATCCAAGTGTCCAAAACCACCCCTTATTGTTAAGTAAAAACACTACAATGATTCTGTTTGTTTACTCAAGCCTTCTCAACAAGTATTCTACCTGCACCTCTTTTGTGAGAGGCATAACCCAATCTCCATAAAGATTTGCAATCAAAGTTGGCTTGATTCTATATACAGGATTAGCTACATCTTCTGTTTCATTGATATCCACCACCTGGCCATATGTTCTTTCCTTTATTTCTACTCTCTTCTTCACTAATTCCTCCACTGTTTCAATTGTCACCAACTCCAACAACCGTTTCCTGTCCTGCAAGGCCAAGATTAAATGTAGTGTCAGAAAAATTATCATGGCCATATCAAGAATCATAAGAAGAATAAGGTATGCAGAGCTTTACTTTCAGTTTAATGGGAGCTTCATATTGATGAGGGGCTTCTTGAAACTTTGCCTCAGCAACAAATTTGCCATAGTGGATTCTTTTTGAGAGAGCCTATCATGGTGTTGAAGCATTATAACAAAATTATGTAGTTGTACAACTAAACAACTGTTGCATGATTGTAATATCAAATGTAAATAGTCAAGAAGTCTCTTACTCCATTATGGTGGTTCAAGTTTTAGAATAAATAATGTAATAAGCTCATCATTTTGTATCTATACCATCTAGAGCCTCATAATTTAGTGAATTTTATAGTAACAGATCAAACCTCAACTTCTTATGGTGTTGTTGAAAATGATAAAATATCTCCCATAACACAGGAACCTTAATTAATACCTGCAAGCAAAGAGTGTCACAAACAGCAACAGATCCAAGGTTACCACTATTCCCTACTTTTACCAATCTTGGGAGGAGATCCTTAAAATACATGCTCCAAATCTTTTTGTTTATATTGATGGAATCAGCACAGTGATGCAGAACCTAGGTACAAGTACAAGGGAAAATGAAAGGCAGACTAATCAAAATCCAATCAGTAATACAACAGATAAACCAAATCAGAACAGTAAGATTTTTTTATTGACAGATGATCAACTCAGTTAACTCAAGTAAGAAGGAGTTAGTATTAGTATCAGAGAATAACTAAAATATATGGATCATGGAGAGGCATTGACAATCAAATGGAAGAAATAATGTTTTATAAAGTGGCTTGGATGTCCTCTTTGGGTTTGGCTTGACATTTGATTTGATCCAAAAGAAAAGCTCATGTGAAGTTTAGTGAATCTTTAGCAACTTAGTGAACTTTCTAGATTGGACCCATGAAAGTTGTCCTATAAAATTCATTGTTGGTCAAATCAAGTTAAATTCTACTTCCGTTTTTCTTCTCCCTATTTTACAATTTTATTACTTTATGACTAGATGAAAAATATAATCATAAACATATATCATCTACATTTTCTTAGAGACACAAATGCATATAATGTTTTCTTGAGTTTTGAGCATAGATGACTCACATGTAATATAAGAGATAGTCAGAAATGACAAAATTAATTTCTATTTGTCAAAATTTAACAGGTTAGATTGGACATCTAATGCATTAACTTACTAGTTTACCTAACTTGTCAACCTATCAAACCAAATGATGGGTTGAGGTGAGTACGTCCATCAACCTGTCTAATTTTTTATTATTTTATTTTTAATATTAAGTTTAAATAATTTAAATAAGATTTATTATATGATTAATTTGAAATTTGTTATACAACAAATATGTTAAGTATTTTTATTTTATTATATGTAATTTGAGATTTTTTTACAACAAATTTATTGAAAGAATTATTATTATTATTATTATTATTATTATTATTATTATTATTATTATTATTATTATTATTATTATTATTATTATTATTATTATTATTATTATTATTATTATTATTATTATTATTATTATTATTATTATTATTATTATTATTATTATTATTATTATTATTATTATTATTATTATTATTATTATTATTATTATTATTATTATTATTATTATTATTATTATTATTATTATTATTATTATTATTATTATTATTATTATTATTATTATTATTATTATTATACATTTATTTTATTGTGTAGCAAACTTGAGATTTGTTGTGTAACAAATCTAATTAAATGCATTGTAATTTGATATTTATTTCGTCTTATTTTATTATTTAGATACATTCATTTATGAAAATTCTTTAAAAATATTGAAAAAGTATTCAAAATAAATATACAATTTAAAATAATAAAAAATTGGCATGCCTAAACGGCATTTTGCCACTCCTAAAGGTCAGCAAAACAATCTAGTGTTCTTGGCAGCACAAAAAACTAAGTAACGTGGCCTTCCTATTGAAGCATATTATAAGAATTGAATATTTTAAATAGAAGAGGTGGTGCCCCCATTTTATGCAGCAGCTGGTTTGGTCGAAATAAGAAATGAGGTTACTTCACATTAGATGTCATATCCATATTACTCTACTGCTATATTATATGCCAATTGGTAGTAATCAACCTCTCTTTCTCATTAAAAAGGGTAAGTAAAGGCACAATCAATAATCAATCTTCATCTATTTATCTCACAAAAACAAGGGAAAGAATAAATATTCTCACAAGGCTAGAAGAAGGAAACCTGGTTGTTAGTTACCAAGTAATTTTAATGTTATGTAACATGAAAGAAGATAGAATTCAAAAACCTGGGGGTACTGCAAAGGTGGAAGCATTGGCTGAGGCAAGTATTCAGGGAAGAAAGCATGCTCATCTGGGCTCTTGTATCTTCCCACCTAATTCCAAAGGGAAGCCAAGCAGAAACAGTTAATTCATTTCATTACCTTTTTCTATTCCATATTTTTATTGTCTTAGAATTGTAATAACCTGTGCATGAAGCTTTTCAGTTTGCAAGACCATGTACTCAACCAAAGACCCACTAAAACCATTCATGAAGAAAGCACTCTTGTCATATGCATCTTCATCATAAGCATACTGAGCTCTTTCCAAAAGACTGAATATTATGCTATCCTCCTGCCTAATCAAAGAGTGCCTGGTGCTTTCTAAAGTCAAGGTCTCACTTCGATCCACCCTCTTTTTACCTGCATGTCTGTACAAAAGAACTGTTCATAGTGATACACATGATAGCAAAGTACTATACTAGCCATTTCTAAGGCTTAACCGTTAGAATTCAGGACTTAAATTACTATTATTGATACAAACACTTATTGCTAAGGAGTCTATTTGGATACAAGTTTAGAAACACTTTTGAGAGTTTCACTTCTGAAAAATATTCCTTTATTTTCGGTAGAGAATCTCTTAAAAACACTTTTAACTTGTATCAAATCAGAGTCATAATACTAAATTAGAGAATCATTACTATTGACTGCAACACATTTTCCATGCTCTCACCTGAGAATGTTGAAAATTGCAACTCTTTGATTATATTATAGCATTTCTTTGTTTAATCCTAGTATGTTTGATCCCAATTATCCTATGCTTCAATGGTATTTCAATGTTCTAAAACATTTGTTTCTTATCACAAGATTGAAAAATATAAGGATATTACTCAAGCTACAAAGTTTGAAGAAACTATTTTATATCGGTACCCGTGAAGTGTATGCGTGATTATGTGTACACATACACAAGCAGACATACATACATCCATAAGAAAGAAGAGACCTTATGTATGCATATATGTTCCTGAAAGCACAAGATTGATGGCTGTATTTTCATTAATCAATCATAAATTGAGTGAACTGAAGGTGACTCAATACATAAAGTACATCAACTTTTTATACCTAGTTCATAAAAATGCATATCAAATTTTATCTAGACATAAAATTTTGCGAAACCTCTCATATCATCTCTTGATGCAAAAGTTCAAATTGAATACACCTATGTAGAGATGGCAATGACATTCCATTTTAAAACAACTTTCTCATATTTCAAATTTACCTCAACAACCTCATTTGGAAGTTGGGAGAGAAAAGGGCAGGAAAAAAATCAAAGGGAAACATGGGGATGGGAAGAGAAGGAAAGCAATTAAGGGTTAATGATCCCTTCTCTGTTTGGAAAATTTAATAGGGAAGAAAATGGAGGGTTCAATAAAAAGAAATATTAACTGTGGAAACCTTTTTTTTTTTTACAAATTTAATTTACCCAACTTCAATATTCTACTTCAACAATGAATTTAGAATTCAACCTCCAATATCTCCCAAATTGGGAGGATTTATAATAATGTTTGTAGGAGGATTAACTAAAAGTCCATCAATTGCTTCCACTCTTTGGAAAAGAAAAAAACAAAGACCTAATTTCCCCAATTGGGAAAAGGCTTCAATGAAACCTCTTGGATTGATGAAATTGTAAGGAATAAAACAAAACCATGTTACAACATTTGGATTCCTTGACATGGGATAAAATAGAACGGAATCGAGGCCGGCCCAATGTAAACACAGGCCTAAAGGACATATTAAAATGAAAATTTTAAAATTAATAAAAGTTGTTTATTTAGCTAATGCTTTCATGAAGAGAATTTAATTTTAACTAATGGAGCTTACTATGAAGAGAAAACTATTTAATTACTCCTACTATTACACGATACTTATTAATATTTTGAATTCTTAAATTAAAGTATATTAACAAATAAAAATAGACTAAATTATATTTTTGTCCCTCTATTTTTTTTATCATCTTATAATTTTGATTTATCTATTTTAAAACAAAAATATTTGATCTCTCTAATTTTAAAAATATGAAATTTTAATCTTTCCGTCAAATTGACATTTAGCAACATAACATTTAAAAATAAAAAATTAACAAAAAAATATGCAAATAATTTTTTTATTAATAAAATAAACATTAATCAATGTAAAAATATATGCAAATGAAAATCTTTTGCATATTATTTTTAAATTTGTATCCTTATATTTTATATTATTAAATATTACATCACTTAAGTAATGACAAATTAGCCTAACAACATCAAAATTTAATTATGAACATCAAATTGACAATATAATCAAAATTTTATATTTTTAAAAATAAGAAAACTAAATTTTTATATTTTAAAATAGAGGGATCAAAATTACAAATTAATAAAAATAGGGAGACTAACAATACAATTTAGCCATAAAAATATTATTGAGATCCTAAAGTAAAGTTTTTTTTTTTAAACTTATCCAATTTGATTTTTTTATTATAATTATTTATGAATTCAATTTTAATATTTTAAAATAAATTATGGATAAATAAAAAATCTTGTGTTATAATATAAATTATTTATCATAAGTTTAAAATATAATTTATATATTTAAAATATTTATTTATATACATTTTAAATAATTTATATATTTAAATAAGATATTTATTTGTATATATTATTTATGAATAGGGATTAAATGACTCCAAAAGTAACTTTTATTTAAGTTGCTCCACTTAATAATTTATTATATATGTTGAATTCAACGATCTAACCATTAAATTAAAAAAAAAATAATTTATATACTAAGTCTACAAATTTTAAAAAATTTTAAAATTTATTTGATATTTTGTTTTGTTAATTGAAATTGATAGATAATTATAAAAATATTTTATAAGTTGATTCGAATCTATATAATAAATATTCATATGATTTTTAATTTTTTACAAAATTTATAAACTTGATTTATATATTAAAAAATTTTAATTTTATACATTTATTGAAATTCAATATACATAATAAGTTATTAAATATAGTAACTTAAATAAGAGTTATTTGATCCTCTTCATTATTTATTATTAATTATATAATTAATATTTAATATTGTACTGCTTAAAATATTAGTTTAATATTAAATTGATGAGTTTCTATGGGAGGAGGACTAAAAACTTTCATCTAGATCCATTTTTATTTGTGCATAAACAATCCCACATAATCCACCGTTTAAATACATTATTAATTATGTGTATTTCCTCTCAAAACACATATAGTAGATTAGAAATGACCATGTATATGAATTATTGGATAATCATATTTCAACTTCAAATAAGTACATTCAGACTCGTTACATTTTACTATATTCAAATATAGAATGACAATTTCTCTCCCTGTATATATATATATTAATTTCACAAATTTTGTTCGTCTATTTTGTTCATAAATTTAATCTTTTGATCATCTAATTTTAGTCTCTGTATTCACTTAATATCCAATAAAAAAATGTGATAATACAATAAAGTGTCATGTGAATTTTCCTATTAAATTAAGAATTAGTAAAATGAGTCAAAATTACAAAATTGAAATAAAAAGAAATCAGATTTGCAAAAAAGAATCATGAAATTAAAAAAAAAAATAAAGGAATCAAAAGTGTAATACTAGTAGATCCATAACTACTTGCCTATAAGAGATATCATTTGAAAGAAGAAAAAAAATCTAAAATTCATGTAGAAATGTATTGTTCAGCAACAAAACAAAACGAGAATCGATGACATAGCCTAGACAATGGTATTTTTCTAGGCACTGTCACACCATTTATAATTACAATATCATTGACACACACAACAACAACAACAACAATTGATTCTGAAGTAACAAAATGAGCATCATTAAAATAAAAAAAAAGTTAGAGAAGCACCTTAATGGAAGAGAAGGAGAAGAGGAGGCAGAAGCAATGACTCGAGACCCTCTTGTGAAAAGACAGTTTTTTAGGAGAAAAAAAATGGTGGGTTTGGAAGGAAAATAAGGTATGAGTTGTGTGCTCCCATGGTGGGGTTGATGATGATGCCATTGCAACCTTAACACTGCTTCCATTGTTTTTTCCGAAAGCGACAGCGATTTTGATTTTGACACACACCACTCAAATCCCAAGGAGGCAAAAAAATACTCTTATCGACACAGAATCTATGTGGGACACGTTTTCAGCGATTTAGAATCGTTGATCTGTTACTAAGCAATCATGTTAAAATACACGCTCAAGATCTTGACCGTCTGATTTTCATCGACGGTTATGATACGTTAACGCGTTAAGATGTGACTGCACTGAATCGATTCCTTCTTACGCGTGTTTTGTCATTATCCAAACCTTGATTTTTAAGTAAAATTAATGATTATGATTTGTAATCTTTTTTTTTTTTTGGGTGTAATCTAACGTTACCTTCTCCAATTCATAATTTTAAATTGAATCCTTTCGTTTTCTCTTTTCAATCAAAACTATTTTTTTTTCTTTTTTTTTCTTTTTTTCTATTAAATTTTGCGTTAGTTACATGGAAATTTTATTTATTTATCTAAATAAGACTAAAAATTAATATTTTCCCAAAAGTTAGTCCCACAGTATTTTCCCAATACCGCTATATTTTATTCTAAAAAAAGCCTAACCCTACTTTGACTTCTCTGTCATTTTTTTTTTGTTTTTTTCAAACCCATTTGAAACTTCTCAGCGTGGTGTTCCCCCCCCCCC